CCCCCCAAGTGCCAGCGAGCCCTTTCCTGGGCGACCCGGAGCCCTCCCGCGGGGCCTCGAAACGAAGGAAGAGTCTTCCATGCCCACTTGGCCAATTTTGATTCACCCTAAGAAAAGGGTAGATTTTAGTGGGTTTTTCTGCCCCCCCTTTTTTTAATGTGCGTACACGTATAAAGAGTCCAAAGGACATGATCTTCAACGTGCCCGTGAAACAGCCCTTGCAAAACAGTCCACTCATTATAGCCCCAAGGATGCGGAAGACAGAAGAGTTTTTGGTACTCTTGAGAAAGGACTTGGGAGGGGGAGTCCACCAGTGGGGGGAGCAAAGAAATCAAGGAGGTGCTCGTGCCCACGTGATTGAAGCCCCACCCTTTTTTACACGTGTCTCAGCACTCTGAAAAAGCGGCCGGGCTTCAATCGTGCAGGCAGTTCTTGACTTTTTTGACCCCATTTCATGGACGCCCTTGTTGGAAGTGCTTTTCCAGCATTGTTGAAGTTCGCTTCTCCACCTGACTTTAATTCATTAGATCAGTGTTTCTCAACCTTAGCAACTTTAAGACGGGTGGACTTCAACTCCCAGAATTCCCCAGCCAGCGTAATCAAGATACACAAGATGGAGAGAAAAGGAAAGTCCACACAAACTCACCTTTAATAAAAATCAAAACTGGGTCATCTATATTCAAGTCACATTTTTTGAAGGGCACTGGAAATTTCCTGTTCTTTTTTTCTGCCCTTAGGAAAGGATCTGGGACCTGAAATACATTGGATGGACCCTCTCTCTCTCTCTCTCTCTCCTTCCTTCCTTCTTTCTTTCTCCCTCTCTATCTCTCCCTCTCCTTCCTTCCTTCCTCCCTCCCCCGCGCACGCACGCAAGCACAGAAAAAGGGGGGAAATGATTCAAGAAGATAGTATAATCAAAACTACTCATGCACATCTCTGTGCCATGTTATCAATTACATTATAAATATTTGAGTCAATTTAGTTAAATAGGAAAAAGAAATGAAGCATATACGTATAGCCCAAATTTTTAATCTGTTCTCCAATCAACAGTTCTCTGTAGAAATGGAATAACTGCATATTTTCCACATTTGCAAAAATAATAGTAATCTCACAATTTGAATGATAAAATAATGCCTCTCTTGTCCTCCTATAACTTGTTAAACAATTTGTATATACAAAACAATGCGGGCATTTACAAAACCTGGTAAGTCAGAATAAAGTGTGTATGAGAAACAACTATCCAAAAAGGAGCCATTATAGCACTAAACCCACATTAGATCAGTGTTTTTCAAACTTGGCAACTTCAAGGTGTGTGGACTTCAACTCCCAGAATTCCCCAGCCAGCATGTCCACACATCTTAAAGTCGCCAAGTGTGAAAAATACTCCATTAGATGATCCAGTTGCGTTTTGAGTACTGCCCCTCCAAGAATTAGATGAAGCTACCACTTTCTTCCTAAAAAGACATTGTGAGGATGACCTCATTATCTGATTCCCTGAATGTGAAGCGCATTGTCAGAAACATTCTGTGTAAACTAGTTACACCAGTGTTCCTCAACCTTGGCAACTTTAAGATATGTGGACTTCAACTCCCAGAATTCCCCCCACCCCGCCCTGCCTGGGGGGGGGGTTTGGGGGGGGGAGCCGCATTAAATTTTAATAGTAACGCGGTTGAACAACTGTG